TTGGCAGATCATCTTATTTACCTGCTCAAATTAAGGGTAAATACATTTAATTTAAGAAATATTGACCTATTTCTAGATTGTTTTTGCAGTGTGGTTACAAATGTTACAATAAAGTAAAAAAATATAAATTTATTAATAAAATATTGACAATGGAGGGAGTGCCAATAATTGTGTTTAAGATTTTGAATTGAAAAAGCTTCCTGTATTGGAAGCAAAACATCTTCAAACTTGGAAACAAAGTCCAGTGGTTCGTTTTTTTAACTTTTTTGGAGTGACTATGACCTGGATGACTGAGAATCTTCACCAGCGATGTGCTCAATTGCTCTACCTTGATGGAAAATGTTCAGATCTAAGAGACATAATGTGAGGAGATCACCGGTTCACACATTTAGTTCTTCTGATTAAAATCGTTTTTTGTTTCTGGAAACATGAATTCATGCAGCATCAGAAAAAAGGTACCTATCTATAGGTTTAAAGCAGACGCCTGACCTGACCATGATTCCACCTCTGCCATGTTTTATTGTGTGCCAACGTGACCTTATGGAATTGGAACAATAACATTTGTTTTATTGAACACAGCGCATCCTGCCACACAGGCTCTGGATGTTTTTGCCAACGATGGATGGCTGAAAGTCTCCTTTGGAGTGTTGCGGGAACATTTTATATATTCGGACTTAGATGTATTTTTTAGTTGTGGCTTTGCATTACAGTCTAAAGGAGTGCATGTCTTTCAAGATAAGTGGCATCAGATTTATTAGCCTGGTCAGATTGAAGAAAAGTCCTACAGGTTGTTTTGTTGAACCTTCTTCACATCTGTTTCTCATCAGTGTTCTGCTGTTAACTTTCAGCTCTTTGCACATTCACTCATTTAACTTACAAAGACGAGATTGATTTTCCTTATTTTGCTGAAACCATGTTTTACTCCATGATAGTAAAATGTCCATGATAAATTTCATCATTCTGCTTCATTCTATCTCTATTCTCCCACTCTGCAGAATCTGTTAGTTCAATCTCTAACGTTCTGCTCTCTCTGCTTTTTCTCA